ATAAATAATAAATATATATATATATATAGAATAATATCTATCTATTTATCTATCTATCTATCTATCTATCTATTTATCTATCTATCTATCTATCTATCTATCTATCTATCTATCTATCTATCTATCTATCTATCTGTCTGTCAATCTATCTCTCTCTCTCTCTTCATCTCATATATATAGATATATATATATATATATATTATATATATTCATCTATCTGTTTGTCTGTCTGTCTGTCTGTCTGTCTGTCTGTCTGTCTGTCTGTCTGTCTGTCTGTCTGTCTGTCTAACTATTTACCTAACCCAGTCTATACCTACCAATCATGCAGGCCACTCACTCATGTAGAGTCGCCTAACTGCATTGTATAAAGTATTAGCTGTCTAAGTATTAGTTACATAAGAATGATGAGTTAAAAGGAAAAAATTAAATACTATGCTTGGCCAGTTTATATGAGTTTATATATATATATATATATATATATATATATAAATTCCACAATTTGTCTATCGTTAATACACCATCATGCACCAATCCGAGTACGACGTTATATTAATGTAGAATGACATACTATTCGACGTACGTTCCTCGCTGGGTTAAATAGCCATCTTGTTGAATAGGGGCCATATGTTTGGTTTCCGTGATGGGCGTCCCACGCCTCCGGGAAATCGACTATGCCAGTCACATGCCAGCAAACATATATGGCATGAGGGAAATTGTGTGCGCTTGTATGGGTCCGTCGTAGATGGCTCGCCGTTGATTGCCTATTGAATTGACGTCGTTATATTTACTGTTGTTCGGTTTCGGTCTCGCCGTGACAGCATCTTCTATCTGCGACGGCGCACTTTTGCAGCGTTGTCATATTGGGCTGTCATCCACGCTCAGCGCGGCATTTATCAGATTATGGACGGAGAATGCGTACATTCGAGTAGGTTTCCCGAAGGGCGAAGCCCGGTCTTCTCAATTTGGAATAACAGCCTGCGCGCGTCAAGCATTCGTCGAGAGAGGCGCGCGACGAGCGGTGGCGCTGTCGGCGTATCGCAGCAGACATGGCTGATTGATGAGCTATGTTGTTATCGCCGCCTTCGCGATGGCTTCATTATATACGGCCTTCACACAGTTTCCGACGGCCGCGATTCCATATTTCCTCCGTCCTCTTGTTAGCGGGCCAGAATGTTTATATATTGCCAAGATGAAATCGGTTTCGCGTTTTAGCGATAAATCTATTTATCACCGCGTACATATTGAGTGCCTTTGCTGAGTTGCCGCTATTTAATATAAGTTATTCTTAATAGTTAATATTAACAATACTTTATTATATAACAGTTAGCTTTCTAGTGCACCCATATCTCGGCACTTCGTCACGCCGGCGTACCAACTACTCTGTAAATGGGTTGATAGATTTGAGTTATGTTGGGTTTTTAAATGCACCATTGAGTTGATACTAACATCGTCCCTCGTTAATTAAAAGCAGCCTTGCTCTGTGTGGATATACCAATTGTTGATTCGAGCTCTAATTTTCCGAATGTCGCCATTATATCCGTTTATGGGCAAATAGACGCGAATGCATTATGAGAATGAGTTGGACGGTCTTCCGAAATTCTCTATCAACGAACAGAAAATTGCCCAAGCTGGAATGGTAGTATTAATTGCACTATCAGATGAAATTGCACACAAAGCCACACGAATCTACCCATTTACAAAATCGTCGAGTTTCTTGCTACTGGCGAGACATTAAACAGATATTTCGCAGCGAAAGATATTTGCCGTTTTAAATTTTTAAAAGTAAAACCTCATTATAAATGTTTTGACGCATATATTAGCATGTTTGCAGAGTCACAATGAATAATTATAAATGACATATTAAGTTAATTCGGCTTTGCCGAGTTCGTTTGAATAAGTTGGCACACGAAAGCCTGAACATAACGAGCCCGTCTAACTGTACAGATGGACTACCAAACTTGAATGAGTGTGAAACCAGAGCTCAAGGGCTGGATCTGAATATCCTGAACAGATTGTACTTGTTGTAGAAACATTCGTTGTAGAAGGTCTTTAAAATCAGATCAAATTCTAATCAGAAGTTAAAATAAAATCAGTTAATATGTTTGCATATATGCGCGGGCGCAAAAGTTTCTAGTCTATGCTATTACTTTGACGCCTCCTTCCCCCATGTGCGTATGCGCACACGAACGGCATTGATACACCTAGATTATACATGTATTATCATTTATCAGGTAAAATAAGTGTACAGATGCGTATTACATTTACAATGAATATCAGCACGAATGCAGGCCGTAGCTCTCTTGTTCCAGTATACCCTAGTTGGCGGCTAGCTAAATTGCAAATTAATAGCATCATTAATGGTATTCAGTCACGAATTCAATTAAAGCTTAATTCGGGTGGTGACCTTGAATTCACGCACTGACTCACCCGCGGAACGAAGTCGCTAGGGATTTTATTTGTTAATTAACATTAATTGTCGCAGAGCAAGCGATAATTAATGTCTTTATGAACTCGAACCCAATTAGAAGTTTAGAAAAATGGCTGAAAATATGAAGAAAGCCTTTTCACTTTTATCATCGACCAAATCGACTGATCTAACTGCAATCGTAAACCAAATATTGTGTGTCGAAATTTCGAGAAAACTTTGACAAATGAAGTTACGATAACAGGAATATAACTAAGAAGGATAAACACTAATACTATGACGACGCTCTTTTATGTTATCCATGACTGACAATTCATTTTGGATTGTGCCATCGTGGCGATCTACAGAGTTTACACAACACTGACTAAACTAATTTCCGCAGTTTTTCGCATGTCTGTATGTCAGTCCGTCTGTTTGCATGTGTGCCGACGGGACTGGCTTGCTTGATGGGCTGGCTAGCTACCGCTATATCTGCTTGCCTTTTCTATGTCCCGTTAATTCATATTATATATCGCGTAGAATTTGTCAAGTCTAAACATTTCCGGTGAGGGTATTCATTGGAAATTATTAACGAAGGTTATAAATGTGCGACATTGCCAAGTGTGTGACAAACGTATTATTGTATAGTCACTAAAGAGCAACGAGTCGTGCGCACATTCATTCCGTATCCCTGTGGACAAAAACGGGTCTCGTTAGGCGCTAATAGTAAATTCAATTTTGCGTCACATATTATTTTAGCGATAAACGATGAAATCATAATAAACGGCAACTCCGGCAACATTCAATGCGCACGTGTTATCAACGGGTGTGAGATTTCGGCGTGGCATGTAACGTAAACCGCTTCGAATGCGGGAAATTGGCACCGCGGCCGCCTCAACACTCGAGTTAAAACGAATTCGCCGTTTCGGGATAATGGGACGGGCGAAGCTGGACCGCCAACAATCACTGTCCCTGGTCGTTAATTTCGAAATTAAACAGGACAGCACATGCGTTACACGACTTCCCGCGGGGTTGTCCAAACGCAAGCAACGGAAATTTCCTCAATAATTAAAATCGTTAGCCTTCCTCTCCTCAGCGGGCATCTCCTTCGTCGCATCGCGACGCAGGCCAGCAAGCTAAAACAACTCACGGGTGCATTATTAATATGCACAAGTGTCTGAGCTGATATATGCGCGTTAATTTGCGTGCTGACGCGCAATGTACTCTCTCGCAGGACGCGGCGAGATGCCTTGAAACCTCCCAACGCGCAGAGCGATGCTCTCCATACCAACGATGTTTGGTTACCGCGGCGGAATACAGCCAGCGCGCGATTCCTCGTTAGAAGTCAGTCAACAGTTTCTCCCGCAGCGGTGGTAGGATTTGACGAGTCTTTATGGGTTCTCTCGTGTAACATTTGGCCGAACTCCTACTGCGCGCTTTACTGGTTACGAGGCTCTATCGTGGGCTATTGAGACCTGGCGATGGAAGATCGACGCGACCTGCTTGCCCGGTAGATAAAGACACGTACGGGGAAAGAGATAGCGAGCGAGCGCTCAGCGAGGAAAAGACTAACCAGGTCGAATTGCAAAAAAGAGAAATGATAGAGAGAGAGACAGAGAGAGAGAGAGAGAAAGTGGAAGATGGCGTAGGGAGAGAGGGGGAAAATGGGGAGAGAGAGACAGAGAAAGATAAATAAATAGAGAGCGGGGGAGACGACATGCGTTACCAGTTATCTATCATTGGAACCCACTCAGAAACAAACCACTCTCTGCTCCTCTGTGTATTAAAGCCTTCCCCTGGCCAATCGGCTGGGGCCGTAAATCGTCACAAACGTCGCCACCCGGCAGATAAAATCCATGTTGGCAAGCTCTGGAGAGCTAGAGGCAGAGATATGGACAACAACAGGCACGAACGCACTCACTCGCACGCACGCGCGCACACTCACGCATAACCATGCTCACGCGCACGCATAACACGCGCACACAAACGAGGACGGATAGTTGGCCCCTCTGCTGACTGCTAAAGAGAATGATAGTGATGGAGCGGAGAGGAAGGAAGAGCGAGCGAGAGAGAGAGAGAGAGAGAGAGAGAGAGAGAAAAAGCGCGAGCGATCTGTAGCGGTGAGAGCGATAAAGACCGCGAGGGAAAGGAATGATAGAGGTTGGAAGGGCGGGAGAGAGGGAGGGGAAGATGCTTATATGGTAAGACCACAACGCCATAAAGCCTTGTTATTATAATTAAACTATAACGCAATTATAATGTAACTGTAATGCAATTATGATGTAAAGCGAGCAGTGCACACGTTACTAATTGACGCCAGCTAGGGGAGCGTCCATAGATGATGGAGTACTTCATTATAGTCGCCCGCGACCGCTACGGGCTTTCACCACCGTATAACCTCGCGAGATGGAAAGGTGTGGAAAATGTCACAATAATCCACCGATGCCTTCCATCGCATCGCATATACCCGTCTACTCGTGTCTTACACGTACGAAATCCTCGGCCACCTTCTTAAAGTACTCGTCTCTGCTTCATTTACTCTTCCACGTCGATAGTTAAGGCGTTAGAAGCATTCACCGAAAATCATTGCTTTCAGATACAACGGTCCATCGCATGCACGACGGAGTCAACAATCTTCCCACCGGCCCACGCAGCCTCCAAGAAGCCCTTCGACAATGAGAAGGGCCAGTAGCAGGACACTGCTCCTCTAGCGCTACGCTACACGGGACACGTCGTGTCAGGATACCAACATATATATCGGCGCATACATATTTGATGTGTGGTTAACCGATATTCGCCGTAGCCACCAGTCGCTCTAAGAGTAATAATCACGCAATGCAATAAGCGGTGAGAATGAACACATACATTAGCCCGGGAGAGCCCGGGTGCGCACAAGCGACTGATGGCACGTCGAAACCTCGCCAAGGCCGCTGTCACTTGACTAGACGAGGGCCCAATCGCGAGGCGACACGTTGAGCAACTTGCTTTCGCGTGCCGGTCGAGAGAGCGCTATCATCGCTCTAAGTCTAATTGAATTTTCTTTTCTCTGAGCGATTTCAGCACAATTGCCTCCCCGAGATATCGCATCGAAGCCGGCTCGAAAGCACGCGACGCTGGCAACGGTGCGATAAAATATTCGAGTGGAGCTGGAGCACTGGCGACGCAGCGACACTTGACAGAACCTATAAGCTACTTGTCAGCGATTATGCAGAGAAATGGCAATCCCCGCTGATCCACGTGCGCCAAACGAGGCCGTCAGTAATAGAAGGGCGAGCGATGGAAACGCAGGGAGGTTGGGCGGGATATATCCTTTTTTGGCGCGGAGAAGTCAGCGTTCCGTTGCGCATAAACACACAATGACGCAAAGCTACACAACGACAGAGATGTTTTCTGGACGGCAATCCTATACCCGAGAGAGAGAGAGAGAGAGAGTGAGAGAGAGAGAGAGGGTAAAAAAGAGCGCGCGAGATAATGCAGCGTGTGTAAGAGGGGACCGCGAGATCGAGAAAGTGAGAGAGCGAGAGAGCAAGATATCGAGATGACGGAAATAGCAAAAGAAAGGCAGAAATAAAGCAAAAAGAGAGATGGTGAGAGAGAAAGAGGAGGATATGGAGAGAGATGGAGAAAGAGAGTAGGCAATTAGTGTCAGAAACCACGCAAACCTAGTGCTCTGCTCACCGTAAGTACCGTAGGCGTTGCCACGCATACTACGCACGCATGGACTCGGCACTGCTCATTGGAGGCTAACAAGTCGCTCGGACACGCTCGTCGTGCGCGCGCAGCTCGCGACGCCGATTCTAGATCAAAGGAGCCGCCGTCGTCGTCGCGGACAGCATTGACAAAAAAGTGGTGTCGTCAGTAGCGTACGCTCGCCTCGCACATTTCAAGCGCCCTGGCCAGTAATTGCGACATGCGCATACCATCAACGGCAGCAATGCGGATTTGTAGAACAGGGTAGGGGAGGAAGGAAGACGAGGGGTGCTGACGGGATGATGGACAAGTGTACGGACGTGTTTAAGCGTGTCTAAAATCAGTGCCAAAACGTGGCGGATGTTGGAATCATTAGGTGTTGAATGTTGGAATTACTCGATCCATTATCGTTAATTAAGTTATTTGCGAGAATGTGTGAAAAATCATTGCATCGCTGTCAGCAGGCGTCGTCAGAGCGATTGTTACTCCTAAAACTATTCCTAACTCTTACATTATATCTTTTATCGCTGAGAGGAAATTAAGTTTCCGTGAACAATTTTAAGCATATTTGCTACGAAGTGGAGGGATGGGTTGCAGGCTGGCCCAGGCTGTCGCAACTATTACAAGAAGGCGATTACACGACAAAATGTAACTCATCACTCGTTTCTTGACTACAACACGCTCTGAGGATCGCTGTGCCGCTATTGACATGAAACTTTCCATTCCAGGTGAATTAAAAATATGCAATTAGTACAATACAATACTACTAGTAGACATACTCCTCTTGTAATATAGGCCTATTCTCTCTCTGTGCCTCTCTCCCTCTTTTTTTATCTCTCTTTTCCTCCCTGTATCTGTCTATCTATCTATCTATCTATCTATCTATCTATCTATCTATCTATCTATCTATCTATCTATCTATCTATCTATCTATCCATCCATCTATTTATATATCTATCTATCTCTCTCTGTCTGTCTGTCTGTCTGTCTGTCTGTCTGTCTCTCTGTTTCTCTCTCGCCCTCTCTCTCTCTCCGTCTGTCTCTCTCTCTCTCTTTCTTTGTCTCTCTCACTCTTTCTTTCTTTCTTTGTCTCTCTCTCTCTCTCTCTCTCTCTCTCTCTTTCCAACTATTTATGTTAAGAGCCCAACCTTAAATATTATTTAAAGCAGCCGCGCACACCCTATCCCATTACGGCTTGTTACGCACATACTATACTGCATGCATGTAATAATTATGAAGTGGGGTTTTCACTATATTTCACCATGTATCATAACCACACGCACGGAAGGATGTGAAATAACCAGACGAGTGGTAGATTTCTAGTTGTACTACCGTTTACTACTAATGTGACTAGCACTTTACAAGTTTATTTATAACCGCAGCATGCTGATGGGAAAACCGGATACGCGATGTTTCTGGTACGCGCGTTTCGTAAGTTAATGATACAACTTATTCTATTATAACATTCTTCCAAGTTATGTACTCCTAAATATATTGGAAATGCGCATTGCATTGTGTAAATAAACTTTCTTATTTCTTTAAAATGACTACAGATAATTTATTGACATAATTATGCTATCTTTGTAAGTGATGAAATGAGCTGACCGCAATTGTGGTCTCCACGGTCGATGGTGCAGATTTTCTACATGACTGAGCACGCAGAGCTAACAACTGCCAGATACTGGGGAATTTTCATCTTAGCTACAAATTATTCTAAGTTCTTACTTACATGGGTGCTTAGCTTAGGTAGGCCCATATAAGGTACTTAGGTACTACTCACTACTTGGGTATCTTGGGTGCTTAGCTGCTTAGGTTAGTGCTTAGGTATTGGCTAAAATGTATAGATGTCTAGATTAATATTCCGCGCGAAAAAAACGCGCGCATGTTTTTTGTATTCGGTATCGGCGGTGTGTATCGACGTGCCTGTCCTCACGAATATTAACGAAATTCACTGCACAATTTCTTTCGATGGAAGATAGTCGATTCTTTCTTGGAGATACAGTCGTGTTGCTAGAAACAAAAGGTCTTATTATCCACACCGCGGTAGCTATTTCCCAGCCCAGCACTCTCGACTAGCCTCCGATAAAAGCATATAGATTACCGCTATTATATAGCTTCCGTTCAAGATTCAAGACTTCACAATCTTCGGCGGGATATAAGAGCTATAAAGACATTGCGTATAGAATGGCGAAGAAGGCGCGCAGCTTGCGATGGGTTGAGATAGTTACGGGCACCCGCTCTAAAAAGTCCCTCTTTTCGAATTCGCGCACATAAAAACCGCGAAAGTGTGGCAATCACCGGCGGGATGTATAATTCAAGCCGAATGCGTTCGGCCACTCATTGTCAACACTACTCTCGCGTTTGTTTCGCGTCAGCTACCAGCGGAACACATGCCGATGTAAATAACGTGACCGAGGTCTCTCCTGTCGACAGAAGTACAGGAGTTACGCAGATTTCTTGTTGATTGTACAAGTACTGCGGGCGTATGTATAGAGCGAGGCTCAAATGTTGTTTTTTGATAGGAATAGGAAAGAAGCTTGCACACAAAGGTACGACGATTGCTTGCTAATTGATGTGTGCAGTTTGTCAACTATTTTTTTACGAATTTTGTTTGTTTATAGAAGCAGAGACTATCGTCGCCTGCAAATGTACGAAAATGCTTGTTGAAAAGCAGAGAGGATGTTTGCCAAGTTTCTCGTTAAGAGAAGTGCAGTGGTTATTTGTCTACAGAGGCCCGGATAGTGCTTATAGTGATCAAAGAAGGAAAAGTATCTGTCTACAAAGATAGGAATGCTGCTTACTGAAATAGGTTAACTGCACATTTAGGTTTGGTACTTTTCTAGGGGTGTTGACGTTGCTTGCTGATGGATGCTATATATTTATCGTCGACAAATGAAAAGAAACTGCTTGCCTCAAGCGGTTGCCGCTATGAGCTGAAATGAAAAGAATATCGATTGATTAAAGATCATATCAGGAGTGAATGAATTATAAAAGGGCAGATGCAGTAGTAATCGCATTCCCCCAAAACAAGTTGACTGATAGATTTAGTCAGAGGCTTTAGATAGATTACCAAACTAACCTAACCAGTGATAGCAATAGATCTGCACACAGATCGCAATAATCAATATTTGGTACATTACAGTGATTGCACGCATTAACGCCGCAAAGACATCGACACAGCATCAGACGATTAACAATAGCACCCTCAATAAATCATGAATCTTTACCGGCATTAATTAGCTATAGTGATTAATGACAAAGAGAGCGTCAGAAACACATTGATACGGAATGGTGGTAGAACGAGCCCACGAGCAGCCCACTATCAGCGTAGAATAGAGTGATTCGTAAGTTGAAAAGCCGTGCAGTCCATTGCAGCCACGTAAAAATTAATCGAGTTAGATGGATTTTTAACTTTGACAAAATTCATCGTCACAACATGTTACGTATAAAGCCGGGCCGTATGGAAGTGCAAACTCATAAATACGAACCATAGAAAGTCTTCTTTGACGCATATACATTAGTACCGTCGATGCTGGAGTGTTTTTAACGACCTGCTCGAATATGCGGAGTCTGTGGAAACGCTTCCGCTCTGGGTTAATAACGACGCGGTCGCCTGCTGCCGTGAACGTTATTGCTGCTATTTAAAGCCCCGGTCACAACGGATCGTACGAAATTTTGTCGTGGTGGACCCATAAAATATTTGTCGTGGCCAGATCTTGCAACATGCCCGAAATATATTTCGAGTGGTCACAAGGGCTACGACACATCAAAGATGGTTTGGCGATGGGGACGCGACAGAAAAAAAAGATGTCGTGGTTATGTCGTGGGTGTGTCGCAAGTCAGTCGTGCGTCAGTCGTGAGTTGTCGGGGGGCTGTTTTTTACGTGAACAGGTCGTGGTTCACTCGTGGGATGCACGTGCTACAGTCGTGCGACTGGCGCACAACAGTCGTGGGTCATTCGTGGGTCACTCGCGCGTCCGTCTCCCGACTATCTAACGAGGCCCGGTCTGTTGCCTGCCATTTGCTGCAGAGATTTTCCAGTGGATACATCGAAGTTCTGCCCGAATGTTTGACATTTGTCACTTCATTTAATCAAAGTTAGTATCCAGGATGCCTCTCAAGAAGAAAACCAACAAGAGAAAGGTGGTAAGCTTAGCAGTTGGCCCTTGGTGATGCGAGGGGCGACACTCAGCAACAGCTCGTGAAACATGCCAGATTCCATCCGCATGAACCCCACGAAGTCACCGGCAGATTCCCGCTCCAACTCTTGCATCAGAGTACTATACTGCCCAAACATCAGGCGCAGCTCGATCCACGGCCGAACCCACCAACGTCGGGGGTTTCGCCGGTTCCTGCGCTGCTCCCGGCCCGGATCAACGCCAAACAGCACAATATTAATGCTCGTGCTGGATTCCTCCAGACGCCCCCTCAGCAGGGCCACGCGTAGTCGCTCAGGTGGAATAGCCATCCTCTTTCAGCGCCGACAGGCAGTTTTTAATTCCAAGCGTTTATTTGCCCGAGCTATATACCCCTCAAAAAACGAAAATATGTTGCAAGACTAACGCAAGACTAACGCACGACAGACTTGCAATGTTGTGCGAGCTTCTTACGAAATATAATATTCGTGAGACAATCTTGCAACTGTCTCACGACTGTCCTGCGACAGCCGTGAGACAGTTGTAGGACAGTCGTGCGATAGTCGTAAGATTGTTTGACTAAAAAAAAAAATTCTGGGACCCACGACAAGATATTTATCGCACGACAGTCGCAAGACTGTCGCAAGACTGTTGTAGGACAGACTCACGACAACCAGAAGACATAGATACCACAAAAAATCGTGCAACAAAAAAAGGTGCATGTTCAATTTTGCCTCACGACGGCAAGTCGATGCCACGATGCTCAAAATTTCGTAGGACTGTCTTGCGACGACCCCCGATGACCCACGATTTGCCCAAATTTTCTGTCGTGTCGTTGCACAAATGCGTCGTGGGCTCGTTGTGACCAGGGCTTAAGAGCTCAGTGTGAAGTAAGGCACATATGGCGGTCGACAATGCAGGCGCCATTACGTGGGCCTGGGATTAACACTGCACTGCGTTATAAGCAGCAGAAATGTCATCAGCGGGCAGGAGTAACGGTAATGCCGCAACCGGCTTCGCTGCATTTCGCTGACGATTCCATTGGGTTATATCTGCCGATTTATGGACGCAAGACGCGCGCCGCCCCCTCGTTCGTCCGCGCATCTGCGCAATAACAATGGAATTACTTAGAAATCGTAAATGCAAAAGGAGGAATTTGCAGCAGGAAGCTATTAATGGTCAACCTCCTGCAGCTAGCAGTTCCATCCCGGCTGCTGTCACACTTTCGCAGTGCGCTCGAAAGGTCACGCGGAAAAACGCAATCAATAGATAAATCGACGGGTTGTCGCGAAAATGTACGACTGCTCGCCGTCGCTGGAATTAACTCACGTTATATTAAGGGTCAAAGTCATTCACACACCGCCGCTCAAGAACAGCAATCGTAGGTAAAATGGAGAACCGTGTGTGCGCGTGCGTGCGTGCGTGCGTGCGTGCGTGCGTGCGTATTTCTGCACGCGCGGTCGCACTGCATGTGCTGGTCGATGCTACGCAATACCTGTTAGATTTGATACACGGGAAACTTAGACCGTGTCCTTCTTTATACCCCGTTCATCATAGGCCTGTCCAACGCTGTCAGTGTCCGAGTTCTTCAATGACGCTATGGTGCGACAGTATTACCCCACCAGTCACTGCCTTGCTGTTTTTGATATCGATTAGCTATGAGCTGCACACTTATTTGTAGAAAAGATCTACTCGGAGAACCCGTTCGCTGAATTTTCCCGTTAGGATTACCAAAAAAAAGAGTCGTGGTACTTACTTATTACACCACTTTCTATCCGTGCAGTGTAAATATAAATGTTGAAATAGGGCTGAAGTCTGAATAACGTATACTAGCAGACGCATGCACGTCCGTACGTGCAACGCATGAATACAAGGGCACTGCGCCGGGTTGGCCCTGGCTGGCTGCAGGTTTATGTGTTCTTACACAGATATGCCGCATCCACAGTCAGGCAAAACAAATTTAAGACGGCTATCCTCCTGCATTAAGTAGGCACCCGTAGATGACGCACGTTAGAGTCAAAGCTGCGCCTGCACACAGCAAGACAGCTACTGCTGTTCTGTACACAGACTCACTTAATACCAAGAATAATGAATGGTCTATTACAAGATTGATTGAATAGACTATAGAGCAACGGCGTCTCGTTTCCCTTCCCGTTCGATCTCACTACGTAAGCTTATTGCATTACGTAGGCTTATTGTAATTTTTCGTGTCCTCTTCAATCGTCTAAAGCTCGGAACAGCGCCATTTGACAAATCGAGGCAACAACACTCACTCACTCAGTCAATCCCTCCCTCACTTACTCACTCACTCACTTACCCATCCACGCACGCACACATGCATGCACGCACGCACGCACGTACTCTCACACACGAATTCAACCACCTACGCACACACGCGCTCGCTCATTCTGCAAACTATGGTTTGAGGCACGATAAACATTTCATTTCCAATAAAACCAACCTTCTATTTAAAGGAAACCTAACAGCTACCTACTCATATAATTATCTGTCACTCAGGGAAACTTCAGTAAAAACCTTCAAGAATGTAATCAGAATAAAATCCTTATTACCATTTAGTGTAGGGATTCATTCACAATGCATAATAATGAATGGAATAAACATGTACGGTCTAGATGACTAAAAATAAATAATTTATTTCCAATTTATTTCACACGAAATCTATCCCGAATATAAATAGCCCATTTTGGCAAACAGGGCAGCTGTTTCACACGAACACCACTGACTGGGACAAAACTTCTACCGTGCAATAATTACGTATGTTTTTATACTTTAAACCTTCATTCATCTTTACAGCTATACAAACTAACATTAGATTCTCCACCACATGTAGAAGTTGATTGGATTCAAGTTAGAAACCCTAGTGTGCGAATTGAGCTACCCGTCTGAGCAAATTAACCATGCCCCGGTAGATGTTGTTGCTAGGTCGGCCAAGCTACATATTAGCGATGTAAGCTAGTCTATACTTGAATTGCATGTTTTTGTTACTAAGCAGCGTTTTTAGAATGCCCCTATTCCAACACTGATTGGCTAGAGCCACCTGTCTGTGTCAATCAGTCCAGGCAGATAGGTCAATTCGCCACATTGTGAGTAGACGCATTTGCATGCACAATGCATGATCGCATTGCTTTGGCAGGCCTACAGAAACCTCGCTGTGAAGATCACCACAATTTACTACAACCACTTACAACACGCAGATCTATCACATGACTACATACGACGTGAGAATAACAGCTCGTATAGCTTTGCTTTATGTCAAGGGGGCACTTCTGTAAGAAATACAGCGTAGCTCTAACAGATGCCTCTATGTAACATTACAGGTTGAATATACAGCTTGAGAGGCCGCTTACAATGTGTGAATACAATATTCGTAAGCCTGCGCGACATACGAAACTCAGATATGGTGTCGTATCACAAACGCTTTTCAGCAATCATTACAAACTAGAGCCACGCTGAGTGACACATCCGGGACGGATAGCTTACTGGTTCACGCACAAGGTTATTTACCTAATCTACAAATGCTTTTTTACACAACACAATTTATACAAAAAAAAATATCTCAAAAGTGGCTGGCGATTCATATGGACGGATCCGAGGACGCACAGAACGTGTCAATTCGTAACCAATTATTTACGCTTCCTATGAGTTGACCGTTCCCCGCCGCTTCCCCCGCACCGCAAGACGATAGCAACGATGCGGGTTCACCCGATCACAATATCATCATCGTCGCTCGTCACGGCATCGGCGACTGGTGTGGTGTCGGTGGGTCGGGCGGGGCTGGACGGAGGATGGCTAGCGGGCGAATCGTGCGAGGCAGCCAGCGCATGTGTGGCGCCTCTCACCGGTGCTCCTCCGTCGAGCAGAGAAACCGAGGCTTTCTCTCGGAAGTGTCTCCTCTGCGGCGAGGTGGTGGCGGTAGCGCTTCTGTCGAGCGTCACCGTTGCGTGGGAGTCATCGCTATCACACGCGTGCAGGTCCCTACAGCAACGCAAATCACGTACATGTACTCAGTCCAGTGAAAAATACATACGCAGCGGTCTCCAGCTGTGGCGGTGTTTGCAAACAATACAGTACAAATGTAAATATACAGTTCAAAATATTCTAATATTCAATAGAACCGCCAACTATTTCCCTTCATCACAGGCAAACGATGGCATACGCGTGACTGCAATAATACAGGTAGTGTCCGTGAGCATGCTAAGATAGTGAAACGTGTCTAGGGTGATAGATTCCATCACAATTAGTATGTGCCGATTCATCTGCCAGGCTGTTTTCTCACTGCTGAAATGTACACATTGAATCTTAATTATGCACAAGGTGTTACAACGAAGGGCGTTAATTAACTCTCACTTGTGTTTTCACAGCGACGGAACATCATACCTGATTTCTTCATCACGTAGGTATTGCTCTCTGTACATGTGCGCCCGCAGTGCAGATTGAACGACAGTCACGTCGCCGGCATTATAGATTTTTCCCTCCCCACTAGATGCCAGCACCGGCCTGCTCGTATGCAGCCGTTCCTCTCTCTCAAAGTGTCCTCTGAGTGTAGACTGTATTAGTACAGCTGCTTCCTCTTTCGCTGCCAACGCCGTTTTCTGATCAAGGCATTCAAGTGCACGGTTAGATAATTGCAGTTTTATACGTGCAATATGATTCTGTGTAAAGCACTAAAAGCACTATAAAGTCACGATGAAAAACACTCAGGTAGCAGCCAAGCAGAATTTCTACTAGTCATGCCTAGCCATTTACCCCAAAAGGTACTGTCAGCTTTGATTGTGTGTCACTTACAGGGGACAAAGAGAAAGAGAGAGAGGAAGCTAGAGTAGAGACAGACCGAGAGAAAGAGCGCGCGAGAGACAGCGCACGAGAGAGAGGAAGCTAGAGAGAGAGAGAGAGAGAGAGAGAGAGAGAGGGAGAAAGAGAGAGGGAGAGAGACAGAGAGAGAGAGAGAGGGAGAAAGAGAGAGGAAGAGAGAGAGAGAGAAAGAGAGAAGATAAAAGAGAGAGGAGAGAGACGGTGGGAGTTAGGGAGATAGTGAGATATGAAGAAATAGATTAAAAGAGATGGGGAGAGTTAAGCCACTCGGGGCATCAAAGCCTTCACAATTAGAAGCCCTAGCAATTTCTTGCTGTTTTATAATTATTAACACGCCTTGCCGACAATCTGCCTGTAACTTCAATTAGCTACTATACACATCTTGAATGCCAATCAGGAAACCGATAGCATGCATAAAGACACTGCATCGTATTGCAATGCGATAAGTACAAGAATAGTTGTTACCATATAATACTTATCGTGCCGTAATTTTTAAATTGCAGCATTAACGGGCAGCTTCTTGAAAATCACTTAGACCACAATGAACTACTATTATAATAGTCAATCTGGCAACTAAATGCTTAAGTGGTTTCTACTCTGCAGTTTCATGACAATGAATTTAACCTTACACCAGGGGAAGTAAACCGAGTAGCACGTGGGTAGAGATGCATACATGTATATTGCCTTTTTTACAATTTTCAAATAAACACACAATGGGTTACATAAAAATGCTATTAAACTGTCTAAGAAATGTCGCTAAAAAGGGTAAAACTAAACAAATGTTTTCCATGGACCTTGGAAATCGATTCCTAGCAGATCTTTCTGCTTTCAATTTGCCAGCGGGGCTATACGTTTCACAGTGAATTACCAATAAATCTGTGGATGTTGCATGCGCAAGACAACTTGATCTCACTCATATTGACTGCACTCTCGCTTCACTTTCCCTAATCTCGTCTAGAAGCATCCATCTTCCATCTTTCAATACTGTGATTACATCATGTGACACAGCAAGAGCATAAACCTTTAATGAACAGCTCCTATGGGGATATGTTTTTCCTTGTCAAACAGACGATGGGAAACGCTTAAATATAAGTTGGGTTCATGTAGAATTTTATTACATCTCTCTTGACTAAACTAAGAATCAATGTAAACGGGTGAAGTGTACTTTACTGGATATATCTCTGTTTTCATGGTTTTGTTCTTGCAGTCGTCTTGTACTGTTTAAACTTTGCTGTGAATACTCAGTGAGTCAGTTGTAATATTGCCCGGATTCCGAAATTTTATACTGGGTCTATATTAGGTAATAACAGTAGCTAATTGTTCATTCTCCCACATTGTTCTTTCACATATCCCTTCCTTATTTCCCTCCAAGTATATAAAAAGAAGTTTTCCTTATGTACCGACAAACAGTGCATCAATGAAAGTGGCAATCATTCCACTGAACGTGCATCTTACGAGTAAGGAGTGTACATGCTAAAACATGTATTGAGTTGAATAAATCATATACTCATGAAACAACTACGAATAAATTAACGTATAATTAACGTATACAAACAACCCAACCAACACACACGCAACTACTACATTCTGCAACAACCTGAGTCGACTACCTGCTGTCTGAAAATCTTCCAGTTTCGTTGTATGGTTGTTGCCGCACGTTGCTGCCTGAGATTGTAAGCAGCCATCTCAAGGGCTTCACACTGTAGGTAACCACCACTGTCTACAGGGTCTTGCTGTTGACTACCATTCTGTGAGTCAGACTACAGTGCAACAGCCACAGAAATAATATAGATAACCATAGTTATCTATATTATTTCTATGGCAACAGCAAACACTCAAAATAATCCATCAAAGGTAACCAGGAAAAAAATGACACTACCATTTTTCAAAACAAGGTCAACACCTCAAAGATATTAGAAAATACATTTGGCATGCCCTAACTGGCAACAGTTACTGCCCTGTGCAAGCACACTCCAAGCAATGGGAATGCATGTACCACCACTGCCACAAGCAAACGTACATTACTACCTAATCAGAGTTAGCCTACCTACTGTAGCAGTTCCTTGTATCGAAAGTCAACCATATTTAAATGGTAAACCACTACAATGACTATTGCTATTATAAATTCGACATCTAATCAGGTCATCATAAATTAAACTATAAATATATAGCAATTTCTTCTCAACTTCTCTTTGAATGATTTCCTGCATGTTGATATAATCAGCTTGCTAATGTGATGTGATCTTGATGTTGTTGTTTGTTTGTAGTTGTAGTTGTTGTTGTTGTTGTCATTGAGATCAGCAATGGATAAAAAATAAAAGCAGTAGTAATTTCCAGATGATTGATTATAATCAATAATCAGTCGAATGCAGCAGCCGACTAATTAATTTATTATGAAAATAAATTATCGATCATCTAAAAAAAACTATATCAACAGTGTACCACTAAACAATCTTTTGTGTAATATTTTGTTGTGAAGTTAATTCTTCTTAGGCATATTATAATCTGATGTTATTCCTTATAATTTCAGGATATGGTGTGTGGATGACCAAGATCAAGAGTAGATAATAACACAAGAGTGAGACACCCGATTCCCGCATTTTTAACCGATTTTTCTCATCAAAATTTGCCACCAATAAAGAAGCGATCCCGCATTTTTAACCGATTTTTCTCATCAAAATTTGCCACCAATAAAGAAGCAAGTGTATACGTTCCTCAGCTTATTATGACCACTAATCACTCACCTTCGTGGTACTGATATTCGTTTACATATATTTGCTAGCGTATTGCTGTAAATCGTAATCTTGCACGAGCTGAATTCGATCAATTTACCGCTAAAATGGCGACTTGTTGTGACCTGTTTAGACAACTTGAGAAGCTATCGGGGCGCCAATATTTAGCAACGGACGGTTTCCAAATCATTCGTGCCCTGATAGGGGTTTAATGTACTTGATTACCTGCGCGTGCATAATGTGATACTTACTGCAAACTACTACAGAGAATATTGTTATTATTGTATTATTACTTATGTAAGATAGTATGTCAATTTCTTGTGTTGTGATCACAATAACTGAGCGCGGCTCGCGGTTCCTCACGAGATCAAAATTCGAAATTTAGATTGTCTCTCAAGCCTATCAGGGCGCGAATGATTTGGAAACCGTCCGTTGCTAAATATTGGCGCCCCGATAGCTTCTAAAGTTGTCTAAACACCTAACAACAAAAGCGGTAAATCGTGCGAATTCAGCTCGTGCAAGATTACGATTTACAGCAATACGCTAGCAAATATATGTAAACGAATATCAGTACCACGAAGGTGAGTGATTAGTGGTCATAATAAGCTGAGGAACGTATACACTTGCTTCTTTATTGGTGGCAAATTTTGATGAGAAAAATTGGTTAAAAATGCAGGAATCGGGTGTCACACTCTTGTGTTATTATTTACTCTTGCCAAGATGTATTCCAGCATGACTAGCTGATCGCATTGATATCTGCCTGTCTGTGGCAGTGGTAGAATACTGCTAAAGGCCACCACTTGGAGTCAGAATATATACACATCTATTTACCACCTATATACAAACATATAAAGAGAGACATAAATATACTCATCATTTATCACAACTAACCTCGTGGTTCCCTCTAGTGGGTGCAGAAGCAAGTTTTGCCTTAGTTGCAATGGCAGAAATTCTTCGGGGTCGCTTCTCTGGAGTTGTAGAAACACTGGACGCGAGTAATACCATGCAAGCATGAGAATTTCATGCAACTCAAAATGCATGCACACTAAATGCCGATTCAGCGAAAAATACAACCTAGAGCAAAAACATCCCACAATGCCAAAGGTAATAATAACAGCTGAAAAACGTATGCAAAAATCTCCAACGTGGAAGGTGATGTGAACCCTAGTATAAGGAAAAGATGTTGGAGAATTGTTTTTTGGTTCATACGCGCAATTGATAAATTACCTGTCGTGGGGAGACTGCAGTACACGTATGGAGCTTCTCCCCAAGCTGGGGCTGCGACGCTTCTCCTTTTCCGCTTGCAGTTCAGCCACAGCATCAACGCTCTCCTTCTGCAGTTGTTTTACAGCTTTCCTGAATCAAAGGTGGCACAAAGAGTTGATTATTTATGTTTCAACAAGTGCCGCAGAGCGACACGCTCAACTGACGTGTACTGTAGCCGGGTATTCTTCTGATAAACTCACTGGCAACCGAATCAAGTGGGCCGGTAGTACAGTAATACAGATATAGCTGTGCAACTTTAATGACTTCGCTATATTAACGTTATCATGGATATGCGTCGAGCGCGAGTGTAGTGGTGGTGGTGGGGGGAGGGTGGGAAGAGGGGCGGGTGGAGGAGGCTCTAATAGCAAAAGCAGTTCAGTTCTTTGTTAACAGTCAACAAATCCATGTTTAACCCTCCTCTTTAGGATCAAAAAGTTATCAGACACTTCGCACGTTAGCGGAAAATAGATTTCACGGTCCTTTCAATAAAGTGATAAAAACGGTAGGTCAGCGGTGAAACAAAAAAGTTTTCCACTCGGTACGTTAGACCTTGTCCTCAGAAAATGTCTGATATCTGACCTTTCCCCCACTGCCCTTTGACCTGTGACCTCCAATTTCGCGCTGGTGATGGGTTTCCTCCCCATCACACTATATATCAAATATTAAGAGCGTAGGTCGGGCCGTTGAGATTTGTGCCGCAATTACGTATTTCCTCCTATACCTTAAGTTAAGGGTGAAATATTCTCCCTCCATTGACACATCTTGACCTTTGACCCCAAATTCGACATCCTGAGTCCTTTTCGCGATCCCCCCCCCCGACGTCCCAAATATCAAGATCGTATGTCGCTCGGTTAGGATTTGTGCCGTAACTGTTGACGCACGGACGGACGGACAGACGGACGGACGGACATTCATGCGATTCTACAAGCTGCATCTGAATTCGTCAGCTGAGCTAATAAAAACGATGCACAGATAATCTGCCTGCTCTAAGGGAGATATGACAATGTGAATAATAGGGATGCTGCAATGGGACGGAAGCTGTGGAACAACGCTAAGATGAAGAGGATGCTGAGATGATATGGAAGCTAAGATGGAACAAGGGATGATGAGGCTCTCACACATTGCAATCACTCTGACAATAAACTACTTCATTAACATGATGGCCAAAGTTGCATTGGTGCAATACAATGGGAATCTATGTTCAGACAGTTGCTACATGTATTCCATCTATTCTGAATCGAATGAAGTAATGCAATACTACAATATATGCATGACAGTAGAGCATAAATGGCCGCATACTCCTTAACCTCCAGCTTCTGTTTGTAATGCGATCGGTCCTGCCTCAGCCGCCGAATCACTCCTCTCAATTTTTCTCTTTCCTCCAGTAGCTCTGTCTCTCGTCTATCCAACTGCTCTAGACATTGCTGTGCACTCCCTCTCAGTGGCAGCTTACCTGCAGACAAGCAACCTCTTTATTAACACGAATATGAATGTACTTTAACATGCACAAGTAATATGCACACGTAATGTGGCAGTGCCTTATTCCAATGCAACAATGTAGAATAGAAGAATAGACAGTGTCTTATACACACAAAAAGCTACCAGTTCGACTCAACATGTAATAAGAGATATAGTAATGTAGTAACCTAGTATGCTCATATTTATATGGTGGCTGCATTAGATATACTGGTTTATGCAGGCATACCTCATGATCAATACACTACCTTCTGTGACGACTGAATTTTTACTGACAAACGTTTTCATGTCTGCCACCTGCTCCCTTTCCTCTTCTAGCTTTTTCTCCAGACTGGCAATTGTTTCCTGCAGCTTCCTGTTCATCTCAGTGCCCTCCTCACACTTCCTGTGAGTCTTCTCAAGGCACCTGCTTGTCTCGAGTGTCTTTTCAAGGTTGAGCCGTATTGTTCGGTTCTCAGCAGCCATCTTCTGCTTCTCGCGAGTCAGCGTTTTTACGGAACCATTCAGGGATCTCAGCTTAGCTGCAACCTCTTTCATCCTCGGATGTCTACCAGAACAGTTGAAAATTGACGTAAAACAATCCACTCTACTTCCATACTTCAAAATTATTTTCCCAAACTCTAACATTTAATATCTATTTTTCATATGCAGAAGCCTTTCTTATGTGCAATGATCCTCACCCCATTTTACCGAAGCTACCTTCACACATGTATTGGATTTATTTTCTCAGCTGCCTATTCATTGCACTGCACCATGAAATCACATACGTGACAGTCGAAATAAGCCAGTCAGGAATAATATGCAGGCTATTAACCACCCGCACAAGCTGGGACTTTACAAATAGGTGCCCAATTATGACTAAATATCGCGCGGCTTGGTGCTATTGAAAAGCAGCTTCAGCCGAGCATTGTTACGAAAAACACCACAACTGGTCTAGCACGACTGACTTAGCAACAATATCCAAGGGGAACATGGTTTTCCTCGCGCAGACGGATAGATCAATATTTTTGCCAGTCAGATATAATGTGGCCATACGGGTCATCACGTTTCCACGTTTCACAGCCGTTTGTACAGACTCACCTAGGAGCAGACTCAGGATGTGAGGGAGTCTGTGAAAGTTCAGCCCGCAGACGAAGTACTTCCTGGTAATACGCCTCAAGTTGGACTCTCATCTCTTCGACCTTTGTGGTCTTCAAAGAACTTTCTAATTTCCTGGTGTAACAATTTATAAGCTAGTCACCCATATGCACACACAACAACCAGAAGACCACAACCACAATGAGGAATGACACAGTGTTTCTGTTCCATTCTATTGAACATATTTACCAAAATGCCTAGCAAAAATTCTCCAAAATGAATATTCGTACGCAAGAGCACTCGTATTATTGATGATGTCTTGTTAGTATCTTATAGCAGTACGTGTATCATCGATTACCTGAAATCTGTTTCTCGCTGCCTTAGTGTCTGCTCTAGTTTAAAAATCTTCTGCTTGAGGGCATTTGTAACCTGTAATGGACCAGGAAAAGTGAGTGCTATAATACTTTACTCTCCAAAACGTTATAGCATATGAATTCTGTATCACAATTTCCAAAAAAAATATTTTGTGGCTAGAAATAAGAATAAGTAAGGATACACACGGCTGAGTTATCTGCCTGTTTAGTGCCAAGAGACCGACGCATTTCGTCACATCCACTGGGGTTCAACAGCTGCTCAATCTGCTTGTCCTGAAAGCAGTAGAATAAAAAGGAAAACGATGTACTGGAATTACTTAGTTCAGAAGCACATTATAAATCAGGGTTTGGTGATTGCACCATATGAATGCACTTCAAGCATTTGTCAAGAGCTGCATATATAGTTAAAACATGTTTGCCTGTATTTGCTAGTGATTGTAATTTTTTATGTATTCTTTGCGGCCATCTTGTTATATTTACGGACTGATAAGACTTCTCTACTCTTCGGGTACAATACTACCAGAAACAATTAAAACAAACAAGTTTGGTGGCTACTTTTTTCTGTCCATTTTCCTCCATCCGTCGCAATTTTGTTTTTAGCGTCATGCCATCAGCTTCCACTGACTGTATCGTCTGCAAAGCGATAAAAAACAAAACATAACCAATTTACTTGGGTATGGTACTTACTAATACTGGATACTGGGTACACTGGAAATCATGCAAATGTGTCATTTCCATCTATGGGAACCAACGTGGCAAACCATGGTCCATGCATCATGTTTGCTAGCTAATTTCTACCACCAAATTTCAAGCTGTAAAAAAACTAACACATTCTAATAAATGTGTAATAATATCGTCAACTCATTACAGGGATCTTTGTTACCAGAACGAGCCATGATGGTGGCCATCTAACAACCAGGAGCGTACCTTTTTCAGTTGAATTATTTCATCATACATGTCGATAGGATCTTTGTGATTGGAGTAGCTGGCTCCAGAATTCGCAAATTTCCCTGTTCACATAGAAAACAACTGACTGAAAACATTTTTTTACATTGTATAACATACACGGAGACAGCTGTCTCATGAATTGTACATGTGTTTTCTATTGCTAGCAATGGCATTTATATTCCATAAATCCAAGGGTTTGCAGGAAGGATGTTTCTAATTGAACAATTTGTTACAACAATGCTGTTTCAGTAATTATTGAAGCTTGGTTACTAGATCATAGCTCCCACACCAGAGAAATGCCACGTACATGTATACCCTTTATACATAATTAGTTAGCATCAGCAAGGGAACATATTGATTGTTCATGCTAAACAGCCTGACTTCACTCTCCTATGCCACCTGTCATAATGAATGCGGGGCAACTCACTGGCAGTAGTAAATCCGCACGTTGAGATATTGTATTCCAATTATAAATGGGAATAAGGTCAATGGACGCTAATGTGGCCTCCATATATTGGGGCCCAAGTGTCCCCTATACACTTAATAATGCAGTCAGCCTGCACACTGGAGTAAATTTGTTTCAACCGGTTGAGTAACCTAAATAGATATACACAGTGCCCACATAGATAGATGGATTCACAAGATATACCCACATGCATTCTATAAGACTGACAGATTATTATATGGCATCAAGAAACAAATAATGTTTTACATCCATACGTTCATGCTGGTAGCAATTACACCAGCATGAACTGGGCAATAACTGTGACAAAATGAATACTAGCGATTTGTCGTTTTCCTTTGTTAGGGCCAGCATATTTGGATACATGTAGCTATAAGTTATACAAATTGGCTGACCTGTCCACTGATCTATCCCGTGTCCATATATAAATGGGACGACCAAGACCAACACTGCCAGTGTTAGCTGTTTTACACACAAATCACCATGGGTTTCGGAGGTTGTCTCTACCTATTTTTAGCACTAACCGTCGTTCTGATTGAACAGACAAAAGGTAAGATAAAGCGCTTGATAATGCCAGTTTTTACTTCTTATAATAGTGTATTTCTTCTAATTTTGTAATCTCATATTTCACGTATAAAATAGCTAGTATTGTTGATAGGTACAGATGTAATTTGCTGTTAACTGTGCAGGTTGCCCAAAGAAGATCATGCTATGTAAATACATATGACATGTGGCTGTCCAGTGGGTTATATTATATTAGATTGTCATTATTAAATTTTTGTCTCAGGTGAAGGTAGGTGTCCACAAGGAAAAGTAGAATTGGAGGACGAACCTGGATGCCATCCTGACGTGCCTCAGAGTTGCCCAAGAGGGTACTCCTGTGACGCATACCCCTTTAGTTCAGGATCAGTTTGTTGCAAGAAAAAGGAATCAGGTATGCATACTACTTGTGTCAGTCACCCATTTGCATGTTGATATTATTTACTGTTAACCAGAGAGAACCAGAGAGTTATATTAAGTAATATTATATTTATGTATTATATGTTATATTTATGTATAGCACGTGTTATTTAAAGCTTGGTAATAAGATCTAGTAACTAGTTAGACAATTTGAGTTGAAGATACATGTAGTCTGGTTCATATCTTTGCATTATTGATTACTGATCAGCGATCAGTGCAGAAATGGCATATTTCGACGTGTGACAGATCAGGTGGGTATGCTATATACATACAGATACCATAGTGCTTCTAACACTAGAGTCTAACACCAAGCATCGCAACATGCAGTTAACGGTATAACAACATTACATTTCCGCTGCAGCCCAGATGTTCAACCCGTGCAAGACAGGCCAGGCACCACTGCGAAACACGTGGGGAAACCTGCTCTACTGCGGCAGCCCGTGCCCGCGCGGATCCCGCTGCACGCGCGTGATGGATGCTCCGGAGGTGTGCTGCGCCAAGGGCAAGGCAACGCCAAGCAACTTTAACCCATGCACCAACGGAAAGGAGCCGCTGAGAAACACCTGGGGCAATCTGCTGAGCTGCGACCAGTGCGTGCGCGGCTCAGAGTGCGTGCGTGTGCCCGATGCGGCAGAGGTATGCTGCGCGTAAGGCGCCGACTACACGCGCAACCGCCCGCCCGCGATTTTTTTGGTGAGGTGGGAGTGGGATGTGAGGTTTGCGAGTAGTGCTGGGCATTCGATTGAAGTCTTCAAGCACCTCCAGCCTGGGATAGGTAGCCTGGGGTAGCTCTCGCGTATATATATATGCACGTTCATTAAGGTTGGTATCAATTGAGGGGGTTGTACTAATGCCTACAGTATTTAAAAATTCATAAAGTGGTAGCATGTCGGTGTCTATGTCGCTGCATTGGCAATTTGTAGAGGGGCCGAGGGCACAATTCTTATTGATTTAATATTAAATTGGCTGTGTTGACATTATTATGAAATAAATCTATCTCTGTCTGCAATATATGTGTATGGCTTTTATGATCGACGTTTTGTGTAGTTTAATATATTTAACAAGACCACGAAATAAATAATAAGACAACTGATTTGTATAATTTACTTCTGACAACATCACTAATGGAAAAGAACTTCATGAGAAGAAACACATGGACTCACAGACTAACATGCAGAATAAGATGAAGAGCCTACCTTTAGAGTGTAGGCCCCCACTCTGAGGCCGCCTCTGGCCCCTCGGAGATGAAACCATGTGCCTTAGGTAGTCTGAGCTGCTTAAATAACCACTGCTGTGAGAGGTAGTTAAAGGTACTCCACTCATTGTTCTACTCCTCACACTACCTGAAAAATAAAAGTATCAAACAATAAACTATGAATTTCAGCTAAAGATCATGCAAGTACTGCAACTTTTTCGATGCAAATCCAGCTGTTAAAGCCTATCATGTTTCATAGTTCCTCCCAGTCCTTTTATAGAGTATTACCACAGAATATATATCATAGAGTGATAAGAGCACACCACACAATACTGCCGTAAAAACATAACTGCAGACCAGTTTACCTGCTCTCTTGATGTTTTCAAGCCAGTATTCTCGGGCTGGCTTTATAGCCACTGAGCCATTCGTTTGCGGCAGCCTTGACAAGCTTGAGCTTCGAGCTGTTACATAAGGAGACCTTAAAATGTAGATATACGCAAACATGCTCCCACCACCGGTGTGAGCGTATAATAGAACAAGTGCCGCAGAGCGACAGCGCTCATCTAACGTCTACTGCGGTGACTCTGTGGTGGAGTGGTGGGATTCTAGTAAACCCTGTTAGTCCCAAATGTGTTCACATACACGCCGAAACAGTGGAATGCACAGGGATGGTATCAGGAACCTTCTCAAAAGAATGTTCGTTGCGATCGTTATGAAAGTTGCCACGAGATGGCGCGTACGTTTAAGTGTCTTCAGATTAAAGATGGAAGCTCCCATCATACGTAGTAGCAACAACTATTTGCAAGACAGAATAGGTAAGCACTCATCCATTTACCTACGCAAGCCTACAGGCTGCAAATTGCAATAGAGAGCTGCCACCTGTAACCAATTAACGCAGGCAAAAACTGCACCAACACATGCACTGGCAGCAGCCACTGGCAGTGGCATACGTTACATGTAACATACTGACAGTACAGAATGACATAGAAATTATACGATTTAAGGAACATACACCTTCTTTAACCAAATTTAGCTTTTGAAATTTCACTGTGACATTGTAGCCTCATACATCCAGGCATGTATAGATTCTACTAGCAAACCCGGCAGTCAAATTCTTTCTAACAGACAGTCAACAAATCCAAGTTTAACCCTCCTCTTGAGGGTCAAGAGGTTATCCGACACTTACTCTTCGCATGTCAGCAGAAGGGACATTTCATGGTCCTTTCAATAAAGCCATAAAAATGCTAGGTCACCGCTGAAACAAAAAAGTTTTTCAATCGCTCCGTCAGACCATGTCCTCAGAAAATGTCTAAAATCTGCCCTGTGCCCATTGACCTTTGACCTGTGACCTCCAACTTCGGCACAGTGATGGCTTTTCCTACCATGATGCTATACACCGACTATCACGAGCCTAGGTCGAGCCGTTTAGATTTGTGCCGCAATTCTGCATTTCCTCCCTATACCTTAAGTTAAGGAGTGAATGTTCCCCCTTCTTTTACAACTCTTGACCTTTGACCTTTGACCCCCAGCTTCGACATCCCAACTCGTTTTCGGATTACCCCCCCACGTCCCGAATATCGTGACCGTACGTCGAGCGGTTAAGATTTGTGCCCAACTGTTGACGCACGGACGGACGCACGGACGCACGGACGATCATGCGATTCTACAAGCTGCATCTGACTATGTCAGATGAGCTAAAAATCATGATTGTAGTTGGAGCTTGATAGCAAAAACACTGACTAATTATATAAGCTGAATATAACATACCAGATTTATGTCTTTGCATCTTTCTAGGTTTTCCTTTGTTGCCATCACTGCTAACTGTAAAATACAATGTCTTATATACAGACACACACTCACACATGCATGCAGGCACACACATGCTACGATGAGATGATTATAAACTGATTACATAGATCACTCTAGTACTTTGAGCAATACAATTAGATGTGAACAAAATTAAATGTAATATTTTACTGGGTGCATGAGTTTCAGTAGCATACCCTTGAACATGTAATGATAATAGTTTTTTCTAACCAGGAATGTCTATAAAAACAAACCATTTTAAATATTTATGTGATGGCTCATCACAGTGTATGCCCACAGTCCAAGGTTCAGATTAAATATTAAAAACCTAATAAATCACAGCAAAAGTTGTTAGATGATATAATTATTCATACCACTGACTGCATCACTGAGAATCTGAAGAATGACTGCTTTTAACTGATCATTTTTCTCCACTGGCTCAGGCTTTATATCAGAATCAGATGGATGTGAAGAATCTCCAGACTAAAAAACAGAATGCTAGACAATGTCTAGACAGAACAATGTTGAATGTGGCACATATTTTTGATATTTAATGTCAACTTCATGGAACGATGAGCGTTGGAATATTAGCCGTTGTGAACATATTCAAACATGTTCACATTTAGGATATAAGGCTATAACAGTAAAGGTAAACATTCGGGAAGTGAAAAAGTTCAAAATTGCTGGGTAAAATACCACATTTTTAAGCATTGTCCTATTGTTCTCAGCACATTTTAGACAGCATGAGATGCTTGTTTTAATGTCATTTAAGTAGTATAAAGCAATGATGACAATTAGACTACCAAAAGGACTAATCAAGTTGTCAAGTCTTTATCATTTTTGTAAACAATTTAGCTCAATATTATAATGCTCATATTTGGGTTTGTGAAGCCTAGAAATTTTAATTATTAATCAAAATGCAATTAAAATTCATCATCAGATAAAATATTCAGATAATTCATATGTATTATGAAGGTGGGCTTAGTGATTGTACCCACTATGTATAAAAAACTGCTCTGAGACAAGATTTCTGTATTTGTTTCAATAATTCAACGTGTATCATCCATAATCTGTGTTATACACATATGATAGTTAAACGCACATGTATCTGACAATAAGGGAAGACATTAAGTCTGTGGTCGAATTGCTACCAGTGATTGACCTGCGTATCTAATGCTCATGCATCTCATAAATATTCATGCAGCGATTCCTCTGAGGCAGTTGTAGCACACTCTGTATAAACAGGAAACACTGATGCATGTCGGTACTTCTTTCAAGCTATCAATCACTCAACCATTCGTTTACATGTAAGCGGCCTAATGTTAATTTTCTTGCTAAGCCCTAAGTATATGAAAATATATCATAAAAATACTACATTGTACATAAGGTTCCGACTATATACACCTAGTGCATTCATGCGTGCATGCGTGTGTGCGTGTATGCGGGTGCATGTGTGTGTGTGTCTGTTTTTATTATGGTATGTAGCAAAATGTAGTCGGTTACACCTAATTCATGTATGCCTGTATAGCTAAACAAGGCAAAGTATGGTGAGTCTGACATATATTGCATACCACCAGGTAGATACAATAATGCAACCCAACAAGAGTAGTGGTTACATTACAAACCTACATTACAAACTTACTCTTGTTGGGTTACATTATTGTATCTAACCAGCAGTATGTAAGCATTTGGAAACTACACAAGCTCTGCATGTATCATTATAATAATACATGTCCTTTTACATTATATTTACAAGTGCAAAATATTTAATTTTACTCTAAAGCATAGGCCTACTGTAGCTTCACGTTCTGACATTTCTTCTTGTCATGTGTACGTAGATCAGTCACAAACACCAGAACCATCCTCTAGCCATGGCCTGTCACTGTACCTACGCAGTGTTGTAGTAAGACTCAGTTGCATTATTCCATGTTTAACTTGATTCTGCTATCATTATCTGGCATGGAAAACACATAAAACATTACATTGTCATATATGCTTATTAATATACTCATTACTCTTACTTTCAGACTTAAATAATATAAGGTGTGTAAACAAGAATATATAAATTATTATTATAATGTACGCTAGAAATTCTTATTATCTGCGCATTTGATCATGCGATTTGATCATTGATCATTGATCATTGATCATTGATCATTGATCGCGATTTGATCATGCGATGATCATTTCATTTGCACACCTTCGCGCTTCTCACTGCGTGGCGAGAAGTCGATCGTTCGATTCTACGACGTGAAACAGTCATAGAGCCTGGTCGGGCTAGACCTCACACAGCTTTACGAGTCAGGCGGCAACTGTACGTGGGCTTAGTACTAGAGCTGAGTGACGATCCCAAGTTACTTAAAATTGCTTCCGACCACGTGAGAAAATTACTAAAATATAGGGATCAAAGAATCCGATTAGCAGAATTAAATGCTGGAGGTGCAAATCAAAGTTCACATTCCCAGAATATCCTCACACATTCACCAGAAGTATCGATGCATTGTGAAATACATTATACAAGACTCAAGAGTAGGACAATATAGTATATGATACGATACGATAGAGCTAAGTAGGACTAGTGCCTAGATACAATAATGTAACCCAAACACAGGTGTAGGGGAGTCCATTCACATAGAGTCCCATCTAGACTAGTCCCTAGCCCCACCAGGCTCTCCGACTGTTACACGTCGTAGGACAACCTCTCGTCAGCGTAGTGTTAAGCGAGAAGCGAACTTGTGGCTAGACTAGTCCCTAGACTAGCGCACTAAAGCGGAAATGACCGTGTAGCCTACTACTATTATTAATATTATATACAGAGTGGCTATATGCCCGGCAGCCACCATATATCTGACGGCTGCCGGGCACGGAAAGGAATATATCGATTTCCTAAATGCCCGGCAGTTTTTAATTTTCAGCGTTATCTCAAGTAAACAAGGGTTAGGGTTAGGGTTAGGAACTGCCGGGCATTTAGGAGATCAAAGACCGTGCCCGGCTGCCGGGCATATAGCCGCAGCGTATTAAAATACGCAGTGGCTAGAGGTACGGCAACCGTATCTTAATGTCTCGAGGCTACGAGTACGGCAGTCCATTTGCGAAACGTCCACGTCGCTTTCCCACAAAATAATGCCGTTGGAAATTAATTCACGATTTAATTCACGATTAAGATTTCTTGATGAGCTAGAAAACACTCAAATTTGAAGTATGAAAATGAACATTATTGTGCCAGCTAGCCTACACCAGTTGGTTGGGATTGATTGTCAGTTCAGATGCAAAATATTGAAAGCCAAAGGTTATAGTACTTATACACCATAGATTAATTTGGTACTATGACATGCGTATATAAGATAGCCGAGTCGGTTTATAGTTAGTGTTAGGTTAGGGATAGGGTAGCTCCAAGAAACGGTATTGCTAGGGTTAGAATATCCGTCGTATAGACAATCAGTCGCACAGCCTGGTCGGGCTAGGGATAGGGTGACTGTTTGTACTTGTAAGTTGTGTGTGGGACTGCCGTAACCGTACGTAGCACTGCGATTAATAAAACAACTATTAAGTATTATTATTATTAATATTATAAAGGCAGTGGCTACGGGTACGGTAGCCGTATCTTAATATCTCGAGACTACGGGTACGGGAGTCCATTCGTTTTCATACTTAACGAGACAAAGATGGCGGCGGTGGCGCTAGATTTCGAAATAACGCCTTGGGAAATAAATTCACGATTTGAGAGTTTAGATGAGCTAGAACCCTAACCCTAACCCTAAACCTAACCCTAACCATAACCCTAAACCTATATAACCCTAACCATAACCCTAAACCTAACCCTAATCCTAACCCTAACCCTAACCCTAACGCAAAAAAAGGGGCTTGAACGACTGACGGCTACCGTACCTCTAGATACAATAATGTAACCCAAACCAAAGAGGATAGGGGTTTAACCCCTATCCTCTTGGGTTTGGGTTACATTATTGTATCTACCGTACCTCCAGCCACTGCGTATTATAAACTATGAGTATGAGTATATACGTCTATAGACTGTATACTATTGTATAACTATTGTATTGTATACTAGTAGTAGTAGTAGTACTACTACTAATACTAATAGCTCTAGTACTATAGCCCGCTTACATTAACTGCCGCTGGCCGCCTTAGTAAACAGTATTCAGTAACTGCCAGGGGCAGAAGCGGGCTATAGTACTTCTACTAGAGCTAGTAGTAGTACATTTGTCGTCAAATTTATGACTTAACGTTTTCCCTGTTTATGAATGTATAACATTTAAATTCAACATTAACACATCACGTATTATTAATCTTACAATAAATGCACGAGCAGGTCAACAACAACAACGAAGCGAAATCAGCGCCACTGAGATACAGCGTACGTATGATGTACTACAAGCGGGTACAACAAACACCCACTGGGTGGCGCATGCTACCGCCGATTGGTGCCAGTGCGTACTGCTACCACTGCTACCTCTGAACTTCAGCCCTTGTTCCCCAGTTATGTTTTATATTATTGCTTCCAGCAGAGGCGCCGGAAGTGGGGGGGGGCAAGGGGGCGGCCGCCCCTCCAATCCAAAAAGTGGGAGGGGGGGCAAAACCAAAAAGCCCCCCTCCAAAAAAAAGAAGAGTGGGAAAGAAAAAATAAAATGTATGAGCTAAGACTTGTTAATTCTAACGTTCAAAAACTAATTTATACATCCATTTTAAGTTTTCGCTGCGCGCTTTGCGTGATTGACGCTCACGTCGCACACACGCGCTTATACGCACACACGTCGCACACACGCGCTCACGCACACACGTCGCACACACGCGCTCACGCACACACGCCGCACATACGCGCTCACGCACCCACGTCGCACACACGCGCTCACGCACACACGTCGCACACACGCGCTCACGCACACACGTCGCACACACGCGCTCACGCACACACGTCGCACATACGCGCTCACGCACACACGTCGCACACACGCGCTCACGCACACGCGCTCATGCACACACGCGCTCACGCACCCACGTCACACGCACGCGCTCCCGCACACACGCCGCACATACGCGCTCACGCACCCACGTCGCACACACGCGCTCACGCACACACGTCGCACACACGCGCTCACGCACACACGTCGCACACACGCGCTCACGCACACACGCCGCACATACGCGCTCACGCACCCACGTCGCACACACGCGCTCACGCACACACGTCGCACAGA